ATCCCTAAAAGCCTAAACCCTCAACCCTAAACCCTAAACCCCTAACCCCTAAACCCTAAACTCTGAACCCTAAACCCTGAACCCTAAACCCTTAAGGACCTTAGGACCTTTTGGGTTTGGTGCCGGGGCCCAGGCCGGGGAGCCGTTGCGCGCGCTAAGCAGCGCGAGCTGCATGGAGGCCTGGCCGTTGAGGGCTACTTTCAGGGTTTGGGGCTTGGGGTTTGGGGTTTATGGGGTTTAGGGTTTAGGGTTTGGGGTTTAAGGGGTTTAGGTTTTGGGGCTTAGGGTTTAGGGTTGAGGGCTGCTTTTGGGGTTTAGGGCTTAGGGTTTGGGGTTAAGGGTTTGGGGTTTAGGGCTTTGAGTTTAGGGTTCAGGGCTTTGGGTTTAGGCTTTGGCTACTTTTGGGGTATACGAGCTTAGGGTTTGGTTTAGGGCTGAGGGTTTAGGGTTCAGGGCTTAGGGTTTGGGGTTGAGGGCTCAGGGTTTAGGGTCTTGATCCCGTTCTTGGTTTTACATTTACATGGACCCTAAAGAACCTACCTTTTTCGCGTTCCTTATGATGACTTCTTTTCGTTGTCCTTAAAATGGCAGGCTGTTTGGAGTTAAAGTAGCGCTTAGAATTTACGGTAAGGGCTTCCGGGTTTTAGGGTTCAGAATTCAGGGTTTTAGGACTTCAGGGCTTTAGGGCTTGACTGGGTTTAGGGCCCTAGCTTGAGGATTACACGCAAACGCCGTGCGTGAGACCCGAATGTGAAGGCCCGAAGAATTGTAGAACAGAGCTTCAGGGTACACCATCAAAAGACAGCCATATAACCCTAAGGGTCCATGTACCTAAATAGTATACTTTGGCCTTAAAGTAGTCCCTAGTGGGGTACTTTGGGGCCAAAGTATCTCCTAGTTGGGCTCTAGTAGCCCTAGGGAATGCAGCTGACCCTTCAATGGGAAGAATGAAACCATCTTAGGGTCTAGGGTTTAGGGGTTTAGGGACGGTTTAGGGTTTAGGGTTTAGGGGCCTGAAACACCCGCCTCTGTATTCACGTCCGGCCTTGAAAGGTTGAGCCTCAAAGCGCTGACAGACCCAAGACCGTTGTCCACGACTTCCTCTCGATATCCACGAAACCCACTTGCAATGGCTGGCAAAAAGCCAAAAAGGATGCATCTCTATATCCTATCACCCTATACCCTTGAAACTTGACTACTCTCTAACAAATGGGTAATTTCCTGAAGTAGGGTCCCTCCTTTTTTGGGTCCCAACTATAGTACGGCCCCCTTATAAAAAGGATCCTACAAGGGACCCGAATTTAGAGAACTACCCAAAAGGCTCTGAGGACCCTATGGGACTGGCAAAAATGAGCCTGGGGATGAGTCTGCAGAAGTTCTGCAGCCGCCGCAAACCGACCGTCACGCTCGGCACTTTGCGACATGAACTTCAGCAACAAAGGATCCTTCGGGGGTTTCTGGGCTTAGGGGCTTGAGGGTTTAGGGTTTAGGGTAATTTAGGGTTTAGGGCTTAGGGTTTTAGGGTATAGGGCTTAAGGGGTCTCATTATGTAGGAAGAACTCAATCCGGCTGCTGCCAAAATTGTCGGAACTCGCATCTTTTCGACGCTCCAAACAATACAGAATGTACCCCCCCTCCTCAAGAGAAAATATTGCGAACATTTAAGAATTTAAGATTCGGAAGATAAAAAGCTTAATAATTAATTTTCGGAAGATGCATCCCTCCAGATTGCAAAAAGCCCGTCCTTGGTCAAGCCAAGCATATCGGCCAGCACGTAAGCCAGAACGACCTGCGACAATAATTTCGGGCGTGAACTTATTAAGGAACCCCAATCACAGAAGTGACTGTGAGGCTTTTCGTGGTGGTTGGGTTTAGGGTTTAGGGTTTAGGGTTTATAGGGTTTAGGGGTTTAGGGCTTAGGATTTAGGGTCTAGGGCTTAGGGGTCTGCGCTATAGTAGAAAGCTGGAGCTATTCGGATAGCTGCCTGAACTTGCCTCAATGCACCTAATTTAGGGTTTAGGGTTTAGGGTTTAGGGTTTAGGGTTTAGCGGCAAACACTTTCCTTTGTCGAGTGTATGGTTCGCTGAAGTCTCACATCAGTTCCGCTGCATCATTCGGCACTAGCCTCTTTCTTAACCTTGTCTTCCCGGCTGATTATTGCGCTGCATACTCGGCTATTGTGACATAATTGGTTCTTTCGAACAGTTGTTCTGGCCTGCCGATGCTAAGGTTCGGATGATGGTGCCTACAGAACCCTAAGCCCTAAGCCCTAAACTGCGGATGCTAAGGAACGGATGAGCGTGCTTACAGAACCAAGACGCTCGTTTGCCATGGCGAGTATGCAATCCCCGTGAGGTCCTAGAACACATCAACCCTGCGAGAAGGCAAGTACCCCTTTAGGGTTTAGGGGTTTAGGGTGTAGGGCTTAAGGGGTTTAGGGTTTAGGGTTTAAGGTCTAGGGGGTTAGGGTTTAGGGTTTAGGGTTTATGGAAGAATCCCTCCCTACACCCTAAACCCTAAATCCTCACGGAAGAAACCCTGACGAAGCCCCCAAACCCAGACCGACCTCGTGTGATCGTGAAAGTACCGACACGGCTCGTGAAGCTTTGGACACCGCAAGGTGGCACATAGCGGCCTTAGGGCCCGGCAAGCTTATAGGGTAGTTAGGGTTTAGGGGCTTAGGGTTTAGGGCATTTGGGGTTTAGGGCTTAGGGGTTTAGGATTTAGATTTAGGGGTTTAGGGTGTTGGGGGGGTTTAGGATTTAGATTTAGGGGTTTAGGGTGTTGGGGGTTTAGGGTTTAGGAGTTTTGGGGTTTAGTTGTAGGGTTTAGGGTATTTGGGGTTCAGGTCCAGCAAGCTTCTCTTCTGACGACGTGAGCGCAAAACTGTCACCACGCCATGGTGGGTGTCGCATCGCGAGAATACCCCAGTTTTCTTGACACTTAGCCTAAGAACCGCATAGTGACACGGCTTGTACCTCACTGTTCGGGACTATTTACTGCACACCAACTGTAGTTCATCCTAAACCCTGTATCGTAAATCCTAAACCCGGAACCCTAAACTCTAAACATCTCTAAATAAAATCCAATCCCCCAGACGCTAAACCCCCTAAACCCCTAAAGCCTAAACCCTCAACACCAAAGCCCCTCAACCCTAACTCCCTAGTTCCTAGACCCCTCAACCCCTAAACCCTTCAACCCCGAACTTCCTGAACCCTAAACCCCTAAACCCTGAACCCCTGAACCCTCAAGCCCTAGACCCTAAACCCGAAAACCCATGCTAGGGAGGCTCGGATTCATTTCATCTGCTTGCGAGTGCTCACGGCCAGCAATAGTCAGCTCACGCACAGGAAGCCCAACACTAATGGCATTTAGGGTCTACCTGTAGCCGAAAGACCTACCTTTTTGCGGTTTTTTTTTATTGTGGTTCTTGTACATAGTTCCGTAAACGGGTAGGTCGTTTGGGCCACAGCTACGCTTTAGCATGCTATCGGCTGTTGGGTCTACTTCCTTGGAGTTTTAGAGCGTCGACTTCAGGAGTATCTTGCACGACATGCTCGTATGACTCAAACTATCAAACTACACCCTAAACCCTAAACCCTAAACCCCTAAACCCCACCAACCCTAAACCCCAACTACATGCCTTCAGAGTTCTTGGGCTCTCTGGATGCTCCCAAGAGCAGCTGTGCATCTTCTTCATACAGGCACAGTCAAAAAAGACGGTGCAATCACGCAGTTTTGGGGTTTAGGGTTTAGGGTTTAGGGTTTAGGGTTTGACCCTGAAAGCCTAAAAGTCCCCCCCAAAATATGACCTTACAGCCCAGACTAGACTTTAAATCCGTATAGGACCCTCACAGAAACCTTCTAGAACCCTTGTAACACCCTACAATGTAAGGAAACTACGGTTGATGATATAAATCCTGCGTTACCCATGACAAGGAACATACCATAATTCCCATAGCTTAGGGTCCTTGAGGTCATGCCCTTGGCCTCAAAGGACTCATAATTTAAGGCTTTTGGGCCCAAGGACCCTATTATATAAGGCTTTTGGTTTGTTTTGATGCCAAGGGATGCAGGATTTTTATCATCAACAGTAAGAAGCCTATGCCAAGGCGAAGGAGTTCGTATCGGAAGGGCATGCTTCCGGTGGGATGCCACAGAAGATGTCCGGCACCTGGCGGCCGGACGCGGTTTAATGTAGGGGCCTTACTAATTAGAATAGGGCTTTGGGGTATATTCTACTATAGTTTAAACAAGGAACCACCCCAAAAAATAGTATAGGTAATTATTTAGGCCCCTATAGTAGGTTTTGGTCGGCTTTTATGCGTTTAGGGTTCAGGGTTTGGGTTATGAGGCAAGACGGTTTAGGGTTTCTAGGCTAGAGGACTCCTTGTTGACAGGTTTCTGTCGGCTTGAATGTCTTTCATAATTTCTTATAGTTTTTTTCAGAGGCTGTTTTGTTTGTTCGGGGTCTGGGAAATTTATTCAGGTTGTTGAGTTCCTAGAAGCCCCAAGGCTAAGTACTTCAATAAGCCCAAAAGTATCCTTAAACATCGTTGGGACTATTGTGGGGGCTTTAATAGTTTCAGTTGGGTTTGGGGGGTATGTTATACTGTAAATGTAATAGGGAACCCCCAAAATAGTATAGGCAATGATTAAGGCCGCTGGACTGTTCTACTTGTTCAAGCAACAAGCGGGCACGGTGAACACTGCAAGCAACAACAAAAGGAATATGCCTAGCACAATGACCAAACCAACATGCCGGCATCGCTGTAAGATTTCACGTCAGAAGCCTAAGAAGTACCGGACAACACCATCCTCGCTCGAGACCCCCGGCCCCTTGTTTCCCTCACCCGCAGGAGACTCACTTTTCTGAATCGATCGCCTTCAATCGCACCACCTTCGCTTCGCCGAAGACCGAATACCATAAACCCTTACCCTTTACCTAGGCCCTACTCTGCCGCAATCCTGCCTGGTAGCAGGCAGGCTTGTTTGATAGGCCTGTGTACTGCGTGCAGTCGCTGGCAGCACAGAAAGTCGTGGTCGTTGGGTATTTGCCCATGACTGGCCGCTTGCCCGGCACGGCGACCTTTGTCAGCTTGTGCATTTAATTAGACATGCAAAGACACACACACTTCATGGCATGAAACAGGCCTTCAAACTCCCTGTTGATCTTCCTGCTTTTGTTATCGTATTTTCTCTCTGTGCGTACTTCTATCCTTCCAACTGTCGCTACATTCACCTACCTCCCCACCGATCTGGTCGCCATTGGTCGTATGTTTACCATGCAGCTGTCTAGTTGATCCGTCTATCCATGCACTCATGGTCCCTTTCCCTAAGGGTCCAAGTACCTAATCATCATATTATTTCCCAAAGATTAACCTAAATCAGTACTATCCGCAACCAAAGTACCCTATTATTGGGTCCTTTGGGCCCTTAGGGTTTGAGGAACCCTACTACGGTACAGGGTGCAACCTACCTGTTGATACAAACTTCATCAAACTTCTCCACGGCCACGCCGGGTTCCAGTCGATATCTCGGCAGAGCCTGCTGTCTTTCTTGATTTGGGCCCTCGAGCGTGAATGTCTAGCCCCTAGACCCTAAACTCCTAAACCCTAAACCCAAGCCGGACAAGGACCTATAACTGTAAACCGTACCTCGACAACCCGAAAAGATCGTACATCATAAGCCATCCGATATCCTAAGGCAGTTCCGGGCAACAGCAGTTTGGCTCAACTTAAGCAAACTGGCAAGCAATTCGAAACTTGTGCATGAAAACACCTGTATGAAGTGTACAAATATGCATGAAAAGCACTTTGCATGTATGTTCGGTATGTGTGCTCACATTTGTGTATATGCACACACGGCATACACTTTCAACTATCTGTTACCTGCCATCGTATGCCGATGCAGATACCACCTGCTATAGTCCACACCTCGCATCCATACATCCTCAACCCTAAACCCTAAAACCCTAAACCCTCAGCCCTAAACCCTAAACCCTAAACCCTAAAGCCCTAAACCCTAAACCCTAAAACCCTCAACTCTAAAACCCTAAACCCTCAACCCTAAACCCCAAAACCCTAAAACCTCAACCCTAAAACCCTAAACCCTCAAACCCTAAAACCCTAAAGCCCTAAACCGTAAAGCCCTGGCACTTCAGGCCTCACAGGCGCAGCAGCCCTGATTGGCGATCTCTGTGGTCCTCTCCATCCTTTCATATAGGGGTTGGAATAGCTAAAGCTTTGGGGTTTATAGGGTTTAGGGTTTAGGGTTTAGGGGTTTAGGATTCAGGGTATAGGGTTCGGAACAAACAGAAGCACTATTCCTTATTGGGGCTCCTGACTAAAAACATGCTACAGCGTACCCGAAAACCGCGTTCTCACTATGAAGGTTTCTCTGTTACCATTGTCTGGGCTTAGGTTTTGGGCCTCGCATCCACTTGGGAAACAATTTCAAGCCTCGGGGTGTACACCACGGAGTTAAGGGTTCTATAAAAAGGGTCTGAAAAAGGGATCTTAGGTGGGGCTTAAGGCTTCAGGGTTTGGGTAGGGCTTAGGGTATGCTTGGACGTTCTGTTGATGGAGTGCGCAAACCAGTAAGATAGGCCATGGGGATTGTTGTAAGGCTGCAAAGTTTTTCCACAAGGGCTCATGGACTGTTTTTTAGACATGGATTTCAATGGTCAGGCTAGTGTCATTCCAACATACTTACAGTGAAATGTACAGATTCGGCATTACTACTGTTGATGATATAAATCTGCATGACCTTATAAGGACTCTAAACTATGGGAATTACGGTATATTCCTTATCATGGGTAGTGCAGGATTTATATCATCAACCGTACTTCTGGAGCTTTCGAAGCAAATGGCTTGTGCTGTAAGAGCTTGGTCAGTTCTCGTCTTTAGACCCCCAAAACTATTACGGCACTATGCGGCACCCATATAAAGAGAGGCCGAAAAGAGATCCTAATTTAGAGAACTACCCATTTGAATTTGGATCGAACCTGCAAGCCATCCTAAACCCTAAACCCTAAACCCTAAACCCTAAATCTAGCATGAGGACATATGAGGACACTCGACATAACCTCGGAAGCCTGCGTTCCAGAGGCTACGGCTATGGCTATGGGTATGGCTTTCGACTTGCATTTACAGCGAGGGCCACAGTATAGAGCGACATGCTTGGACCTTGTGCAATGAATGCAAAGCCCTTAACCACAAACCCTGCGCGCTGCGTTGCGTGATCATTTAGCAAACCTGTAGTGTGAGCATCAGCCATGGTGTCATTGGTAGGTGTAGGAGTAGTAGACGTCGTCGTCAACGTCGTCTCGGCATTCAACTATTATAGCAGCAGCAGCAGCAGCAGCAGTAGCGGCCGCGTGGCGGTCGCACTAGCAGTTGCACTTGCATCAGCAGCTGCTGCAGCGGCGGTAGCCGCATAGCCACAGCCGTAGCAGCAGCAGCACCAGGGGTTAGCCGAGGTAGCCGTGGTAGCTGTAGTAGCAGTAGCAGCAGTAACAATGGCAGGAGGAGGAGAAGAAATAGTAACAGCATGTAGCCACGAGCTATCCGACTAGTTAATAACTTTACCTCATCCGAGAGACGCGTTGACGGTACATCAACGAGTCGTGCTAACCCCATGGTAGCTTGCAGATAGCACAAGAATCGCGACTCGAATACACTCGTTTGCATTTTGCCGAGCTTCTTCTTCAACTGGACCAGCTGGTGCGTTTTTCGATATGCATTCTTGGCTTCCTCCTCCTGGATGGGTGATCACACGAAGCCTTCCAAACTTTTGCTGCTACATCAACAGCTCCTTTTAGTGCGAATGCTTCATGCTGCTAATTACCACTACTATTCTGGGGGGTCCTTAGTATAGGTATAGCAGATTCTACCCCAAATCCGAGTAAAATTATGAAAGGGTCTATAGTAGAGCCATGGTGGCCAGAATCTAGAGGAGCCCTGTCCAGCGGCATCTTTTTGGGAAGCCAAGGAAGAAGGCAGGAACGAGATATGAGGTAACCCGAAAAGTCCAGAAGACCCAACAATCGGGTACTTTGGTTACGGATAGTTAGTAGTAATCTAGCTTAATATTTGGGAGACTATATGATTATTGGGTACTTGGACCCGGAGGGTAATAGAGGGGCCTTAACAGTTAGAATAGGATTTCAGGGCATATTATACTACAATCAGATTAAGGAACGCTCACAAAAGAACTGGTAACAATTGGTAGGAATGAGGGGCTGGAATGATGCCTAGATCGTGCTACTTGTGAAAGCCCGCATCGGTGCCTCTCAGCTGACGTGCGACCTATGTTCACATGATTTCATGTAGATAGCCGCCCTCTGGGACATGCCTTCACCCCGTGTGTCAACTTAACCTCTCATCCTAACCCCAACTAACCTTCAACCCTAATCCCTACAAGCTATAAGCCCTAAATCCCATGGCTGATCTCGGAGGACTGCTCCTACAGCTCTACATCCTCCGGACAGTATATACATGTAGCACACGTCTGAGTTTCAAGGGCACCGTACAGACACTCTTCGAGGAACGTCGAACGTCGGATCCCGATGTAGGATGCCAAGCTCCATAGACCCTACCATGAGGACCATCTATCTTTATCAGGGTGACTGACAACTTGGCCTAAGCCATAGAGGCTAAAACCCAAAACTTGCGGCTCCTCTTCTCTTTCTTTCTTAAGCAGGTACTCAAAGTGGTCGAAGACATGCTGGGTCGTCATTTCCCAGGTCGCTTCGGAGGGGTGGTCCTTCATGCTTGGCTGTCTGAGGTCTGCAAGTAATTAGGGAAGAAGAGTTCAAGGGGGTTCAGGGTTGTAGATTTAGGAAGTTTAGGGTTTAGGGGTTTAGGGATTTAAGGCTTATGGTCTGGATGCTTCGGCAGAACACATGAAAGTAAACCTCTGGGTTCAAGATCGGATGCAGTGCAACTAGACACCAAGATGCAGCCTAGGCTTCTGAATTGAACGCAACCATGCTTTAGTCGGAGCTGGCATCACTGTCCGAAGGCTTACTACTCTCTAGACCAAATCGGCGAACTACAGGCAGAACGCATGTAGATGCATGTGCAGCAGCAATGGAGATGAACAAGAACCAACAAGCCACGTTCTACCCGCTCGATCTCGGCACTTGTGCTGGTAGTGGTAGTAGTCGTCGTCGTCGCCGTCATAGTCGTACTAGTGGCAGTAGCGGTAGCAGTAGTAGTAGTCGTCGTCGTAGTAGTCGTAGTAGCAGCAGGAGCAGGAGGGCTGGTGGTAGTAGTACTTGTCATCGTGATAGCAGTAGTAGTAGCAGTAGTAGTAGTAGTAGTAGTAGTAGTAGTAGTAGCAGTAGTAGTCGTCGTCGTCGGCGTCCAAGTAGCAGAAGTAACACAGCGGCAGCAGCTGAAGCAGGATTGTGGCTATTCTTCTAGAATCAGAAGCGGGTTTGGCCTGTTCAATCGCTGCTACAAGTACATCCACAAACCTTCATAAGACCGGTCGATGGGAACAGGCCTTGTTGTATGCCTTCAGCATCTGGAAACGCGCATCCTCCAACTTCGTCTGCACTGTGATGTCTTTGCCGAAAGTTACCTCCAGAGGACAAGCTCAATCCTAAACCTTGGCCTAGGCGTCCTGCGATGCTTTCTGCATGTGAAGCATCTTGCAGACAAAAGCCAACCTGTCGTAAATCGGTACGATTTGCTGAAAATGCCTCAATTACAATTGAACTCTCTGAAAACTGGCAGCAAACCTGAAAGGCCTAATGTCGGAACCTGATTAAGGAACCCTGGTCCCTTAACCCGCAAATATTAAAGGACCCAAGAACGACCCTGGTTTTCTGAAAAATCAGGTTCTTGGGGTCCTTTTTAGAAGGGTGCCGTACTGTCTGGGGAACCTAACAAGGGACCCTAAGACAAGAACTGCCCATAATTATAGTAGAACCCTTATAGTACCCTTATAGATCCCTTTAAGGAACCTAAACCCTAAACCCTAAACCCTAGCCCCTCTAGAAGGGACCCTAATCTATAGAACCGCCCTTACACTAACTGTACCAGACCTGCAGTTCCCGTCTTCAGAAATTCTGACAGCGGCACTGTCTTCGTTTACAAACTTGCAGCCTTTCCGTTAAAGGAAACTACAGGTGGGGAGTTTAGGGTATATAGGGCTTCTATAAGGCTTCTATAAGGTATATAGATCTTCTATAAGGCTCCTATAAGGGTAACTACCCACCTGAAAATGTCCTAGATTCCGGCAGATTCTACAAAGGCGACGGGATAATGAAAACCGAGCGCAGTTGCAAGATTGAGCCCTGGTGTAATTCGGGCTACGCAGTATGGCGTTCCTAATCCCTGAACCCTAAACGCTAAACCCTACTGTAACCCAAAATCGAGCCACAAGTCAAAACTCAAGCGGAGTCGAAGCCTTCTCTACGACAGTCGTGAGCTCCTGCACACACTCGGACTTCCGCAAAGTGTCGCAACTCGCTTTGCATCTGCGAGTTAGCTTCCGTAGGGTCCCCAGCATGATACCTCGGAGCAGGTTTTGGGGGCTTCAAGTGGCTTACGACCCTAAGGGTCCAAGTACCTAATAATCATATACTCTCCCAAACTTTAAGCTAGATTACTACTAGCCGTAACCAAAGTACCCGATTATTGGGTCCTTTGGACCCTTAACGTTATGAGGGCTTAGGTTTAGGGCTCACGGGTTTTGGGTTTACAGCTTACGGACTGGGGTTTAGGATTCAGGGCCAAGTGGGTTATAGCTTGGGCTTCACGCAGAGTCTTTGGGTGCAGTTCTGTTTGGGGTGGGAGGATAGGGTTCTAAGTTTTAAACCTTCAGAGCCCTAAACCTCAACCCTATATAATTTTGTATGTCTTGCCATTGAGGAAGGGTTGAGCATTATGTTTCGCATTTTAGGATTCAGAGCCTTCCTGTGAAAGAACTGTCGACTGAGGATCTTGGAAAACCGAAACCTAGTGCAGGGGCCTTAAAAATTGGAATAGGGTTTACGGGTACATCATACTATAAACATAATAAGGAGCCCCCAGAACCCTATTCTAGTTATTAAGGCCCCGACAGCACCCTGGCTCCCCAAAAGTCCTTCTTATTCTGCTCCTAAACCCTAAACCCCTAAACCCTAAACCCTAAACCCCTAACCCCTAAACCCTAAACCCCTAAACCCTAAACCGTGGTCCTTCTTATTCTGGGATCCTTGTCATGGACTAGGTAAGTCCAAAACGGGTAGTACACGCGAGGGTCCCGATACTGTGGTGCCCCAGCCTGAGCTCTCGGGTAATACATGGGCCTTCGTAATTAGAATAGCCACGGTTTAGGGTTTAGGGTTTAGGGTTGAGGGTTTAGGGGTTTAGGGTTCAGGGCTAGGTTTCGGGTTCTTGTTAATGCTATGCTTATGTACTTCTATGAGGCCTTTAAAGGAACAACTTTCCTAATTGTGGGGCCCTAAACCCTAAACCCCAAACCCTGAACCATTCTAGCTAGAGGGTCATAAGGTACCTAATAAATTTAAGGTTAGGATCTAACCAAAAAAGGTGTAGGGGTGGAGGGTTTAGGGTTTAGGGTATGACACCGAAGTTCTGAGGGTATGAACTTCGGTGTAAAGGGTTTAGGGATGTTCAGGGCTTAGGGT